TTTCATATTGTTCAAAACCAGTTTTAACCTTTTACTCATAATTTTCATATATTTAAAATAATGTTTCGTTTTTCCATGTGCAATTAATTTCTAACACAACTACAAATAGATATAGAAGACGAAAAAATAATCATAATATCGTATACTTTTTAACTTGGACGTTTTCGGATCGTTACTTTTGGTAATTAAACAAAAATATACGAAAAACAGCTACTAGCATTAATAAATGGCTATCATTACAGACCGTCGGGGAAAAAAAAAAATACGGACCACATGTCGAGCGACATATTACCATAACACCCCCCCCCCCCCGAAAAAAATACCATGTTTAAATGCCCGATCTATGAAGTTATATTCTATATAGACATCCTTTCAAAAAAAAAAAAAAAAAAAAAAAAAAAAGAAAAAAGAAAAAAAAAAAAAACCAGATATGATTGACAGGCAAAATTAGCAGTTATAACCGTTAATAAAAATAATACATTCAGGTTACATGGCCGTAGGAACCGGGGTTGGCCATGCACACCCCCCCCCCCCCCCAAATAATTCTGCCGATATATAGAATACTATATCAAACAAAGCTACTATATGCTATCCCATCAATAAAAATGTCTGATGCTCCCCCCTCCCCCTCTTTTCTTTTTTTGCTTGTCAAGGAATTTTGGTAGTTGATAGTGTCCCCAACTGAAAATGTATAGCTGTGCCTCCCTCCCCACCCTACCCCCCAACTGAAATTGCTACATACAGGCCTGTGATCTATAATTAAATGCAATGACCGAGTCACGAAAAACCAATCGTTTTTAAATGATATTTTTATCAAGGAGATTGAAAAAAAATGAAAACTGCTGTCGACTTTATTATTTTTTTTAATACTATATATACAAGGACTCATATAATTGGCATTGTTATTTATTCACTTTACAACTTTCTTGTTTAAATGGCAGCAGTAATTGGTCGAACTGTCCCATGTATTTAATGAGTGAAGGTGGGAATCCCGAAACCCCCTCCCCAAATAACCCCTGTCTTTTTTTTTTGTAAATGTAATAGTTTTTTGTTTTTTTTGTTTGTTTGTTTTTTTTTTGGGGGGGGGGGGGGGCTTCTTATTTTATATCAATGCTCCGATCCCCTCTTTATGAATGTACACTACTACATGCTTGCTAATCTTGGTTGCCATCTCTCACTTGGGCCTGTTACATTTAAGCGGAGTAACTCAAAATAGAAAGAGATAGCAAGTAGCCTCCCTTTGACATTTTTTTTCATGCGTTGGCTAGGTCACAGCATGCATGCGATACTGAAATTACTTAAAACCTTAAAGAGTTGTCACTGCCTTGGTAGTAAGTTATTCGTTTATACAATATAGACATTTTTCTTATAGAGGCCTATTACAAAAATTACACGCGATCTTACTGTAAAATCAATCTATTGTTTATTTGATTTGTCAACTCGAATTTTCTAGGTTCAGTACTTCGTAACATAATTTATATTAAGAGGTCTCGGATCAGTAAAGGTTTTCACTAATAAATATTAATCTTTTGTCTAAAAATGCCACTGGCGATTTCTGAAACGCATGTTGGGTATGGGTTATAATTATAATACATGTAATTATAACATACTCTATTGCGTAACATTAACCATTTGTATGCTGTCGATGCAGACTTCACGACATTCATGTTTTGTAAGGTGGCAAAACAATCATTATAAATACGTCTTGGCAGTTGCATCCGATGTAATTTGTTTAATATTCTAGGTTATTCCGACACGGCCACTCAGGAGAAAATAAAGATGTAGCCTACATGTTTCTCGGGTGATCTCCCTTTGATTACATAGTGACCATGGTGACGAGGAGCCGGGAGTTGGAAAACCAATTCAAAGTATGAATAAATAGGCTGTCAGAGGAAAAGAGAACACCTTATTTTTTTCAACATTTTAGCATAATGATGAGTTAAATATAGATCAGCTACAAGAAGGAAAAGTCTTGGGTCAGGACTGAGGCACGTAGTACACAAAATGTCGAAATTACTGCATGTATACAGGCAGTCATGCTTAGAGAGAGTTTTTCGTAGTTTTTTGCACCACAACACAGAATAACTTATAATAAATATAACATTCGCATTTCGAAACTTTTTAATATTTACAAAAACAATATAGAATCTTTTTCTCTTCTATTAACTTAAAGTAATCCCCGCTATTTTCAAAGTGTGAGTCGGTGCTAAGGTATTTGAATCGAACGAAAAGTATTAATTTCGATGAGGCCACACCCTTCGAACAAAATAAAAATATACTTTATTTATTCATATTTTAATCCTCTTTTCAATGGTATAAATTTTATTTTGTTCGAAGGGTGTGGCCACAGCAAAAATTTGAACCAAAGACGAAAAAATGCTCTCTTTTTTTTAATAAAAACTAGCAAAGTGCACGTTTAGACGTTTTCTATACAAATATGACGTCATCAAATAAAAAAATTGGCATAAATTATTTAAGTTTGATACCCAAGGATAATATTTCTATTGTTTATTTTCTTCTTCCCCTCAGTTTGATTTTCCTGAAAAAATAGGCCGATTTAGCCCCTTCGCGGATTTAGCTCTTTATGAAAAATTAAAACAATTAAAAAATTATCCATTCCTCTACTGAAAAATTGTTGTAAATAGATTGACAAAAAAATGTTTACTATAGATAGCCACGGCATTAAGTACGCACCACACGATAAGATTGTTCCACAAAATTGGGGCAACCAAAAGTTTGGCGGATTAGGTATAGACACCAAGGTACTGGATGACTACTAGGCGATATGATAGTCAATCGCTGTATATTTTTTGCTCTTTAAGTGGGAGACTGCTCATGGACCACCAATGGTAATCACCAACTTCATATCATGGCAAAAACGGTTCGCGGTGCTCGTCGGGAAATTGGTTTTCGGCATAAAGGTCATTACAGGGTCTTGTCATGACACCAAGACATTTGTCAACCCCACTGTTTTGAAAAAGTTGGCATATTATATATACTAGAACCGATCAGGCAAATGTTCAGTTCACAAATAAGAATAACTAGTGGTGGGTTAGCAATTTTGTTTAGTGTATTTTCTATTTATGTTAATGTAGTCGCACGTCTGCAAGGCCTGATTCAATGGTGTCTCAATGTTTAAGATTAAGACTAAACCTTTAAATTGATCTGGGAAAAGACTTGAACGTGGGTCAATGTTAAAGATCAAGACTTTAACATATAAAGACTATAATATGATCCAAAACACTTGAAAATTGTTAAAATATAAAATAGCATGTTTGATTTCATTGCCCTTCTTTTCTGTGTGATTTGATACGGAACAGAAGATGGAAGAACAAACGGTCTTCATTCAGCAGGCATCCACTGGTTCTAGAAGACTTTTGCCATGTTTCCGAGCTGCAGCCTGTTTTTACCATTTCATGTTGATAATAATTGACATTAAAGAAGGCGTAGCTTTTGAGGAGAACAAACATACATTTCATTCGCCATAAAATGCATTGCTGCAAGTCTGGTTAAATTGTGAAAATTTTCAAACGCAAATGGACGTGCGATAGAAAAAAAATTATTTATTAAAATAACTCACTTTAGCCTTTGTCTTTAATGAAATTAAAAAACGCACAAAAACACAAAGAAACCAAAAAAAAAAAAAAAAAAATGGAAACATTTTTTTTTATTTAAATACGACAAATGTAAAAAAAAAATAAGTTGAAAAACTGAAAAACAAATGAGAAAATAAGAAAAACTGGATAAATATAAATGAACAGTAGCTGTTAAAATTAGACGTTTATATATCCTATAATGAGTGTTAGAAGTCAGTACAATATACAACAAGTACAATGCCGGTAAAATGATACATGCTACCATAAAATGTTTTCACAAATTAAAGAAAAGACTACTTTGTGCTTAAAGGGGCTTGGACACAGTTGTTTTGCGTTTTTTTTTCTTACAATTTAAAATTTCAATTTTTACTCCAGAAATAAATTAAGGTTAATGAATTGAACTAACATGAATATTCTTAGAATTCAATGACGACATTATTCATAACATCATGTCAAGCATCTGTGTTTGTAAACTACTCTGAATTTTCCGGATTATGGTAATAATATTTTTCATTAATATACTACATAATTTATATTTTTCTTAAGTATTAAGGACATATGCAATGTAGTTTGAATTTATTGTCTTTTTCCCTGGAGTTGAAGAGTTCCACTACTTAAAGGAATTGTATGCTACATTTCTATGTCTATATATGCTGTTGTACACTTCTTCTATAACAATTTTGGATAAACAAAACATCTAGAATATATGCTTAGTAATTTTTGTTTATTTTTCTTTAAATAATACAAGAATTATCATCAATTGCCATCTTTTCAAAACCCCTGGTAATGCATGCTGATTTTTTGTCGACCAACATTTGATGGCACTATAATCTTAAATTAAGAATATCATGAAAAATTATAAGTAGGTAAGGTACATTGCATATGTCCTTAAGGATAAAGTGTACTTCGTGAAAGCGCAAGGATATGTGAAAATCTAACGCGTCCCGAACTTCGTACTTTTTATATTTTCCAGATAAAAAAAGTTTCTGAACATGATTTAATTATGTTTCGATGTGAAATGCTCTAGCGACATTTAAGTCATGGTATTTTACTATTTTTTTTATTTTTATTTATTTATTTATTTTTTAAAGAAAATATTAATTTCAAATATGTGCCCCAGCCCCTTTAAGATTGCTTTGAAATTTTAACGGCGTCAAAAGGCAAAAAAAGAAGATATTTCACAATATTAATGTTGTAATTAAAAAAAAAAACATACAAAAATACACAAACTGATGAAATAAATAAAATTTGGATATAAAACATTACATAGTCGACAAGTACTTTGCAAATCAATAGAAATCAAAAGCATAAATTGACATTTCACAAAGTTCATCTTATTGTAAGAAAAAAAAAACACCGAAAAATACAAAGTGATGCAATAAATAAAAACTAAAAAGAAAGTGAATGAAAAACGAATTAACAATCAGTTTATTTAAATTAATCAAGGAGAAAGGTGTTGAAACAAGCTAAATGTTAGTAATTTTGTAGTTCCATTTGAATAAGCAAGTCTCGAGCTCTTCTGTGTTTAGTAATGTTATTAAATTCAAATTTGCACAGTAATGACACAAATGGGGTCCATTATTATCTTTTGCAGTCTTTTAAAGTTATAAAAGTTTCCTCCCTTTGTTTAACAATTCGCGTAAACACTGTCATTCTGCATGTATTCAGCGACAACCTCATAACAAAGCTGGTATTCCTCCTAAAAATGTAGAAAATATGGCATTCAATGCTCTTAGTCTAAAAATGATAACTGTTTTCAATTCACCCTATAACGCAGATTCTTGTACAAAAGTAAATGGTATGTACTTAAGGAATAACTGTATAATTTTTTTGGTTTCATGATGTGATCAATCGATTGGCTTGCGTGATAATTTGCATAAACGCCTAAAATTATCACGCAAGCCAATCGATTGATCATCGTCATGAATCCAAACAATCTGACAGTTATTCCTTATATTTACATGCTCTTGATTCTGTAAATTCACGTGCTACAAGCCCCGCTTCCGTCTCTGTCTGTCCCGCCCCGCACGTGATTTTTTTTTTATCACGCCTATCGATGAACCAGTAGATTTATGTAGAAATAAAGTATTTTTACTATTTGAAATTTTATCTCGGACAAAGACATTGGAAATGTAAATATATGTATGTAAAAAGAGAAACAACTCACACAGGATAAACCTTCATCATTCATTTAACTAAATGGTCACTGAAAGGTCGGGAAAGGTCACTGAATGGCAAAGCTCTGCCATTCAGTCTCGTTTCAATAGACTTTAAGACACCTTTCAGTTAACTGAATGGCAGAGATTCATCTTGTGTCAATATTTACTCCAAACCGATCATACGGAAAAAAACCTTGCTTTGATACCACTAACAGTAAATGATAATGGACTGAGGCTGACTTATATGTAGTAACAGGACAGCTAGCACTTTTCTGTAACATGAAACAGCACTACATAGCCATGATAAATTTCACCTTCAATGATGAATAAAACAATCACAAGCAAACAATATCCAGCTTGGACTCAGGTTTAACAATAAATATTATCTAAAATATAGCGTAGAAATCTAGTTTACCGTACATTTTGTATTTTTGGTGGAAATATAAGTAAATTCAGCAGGGAAATTTCAGCAAAAATATAGTTAATGCTAAAAATAAATATATCCAAATCTTCCAGAAATACTAACATAACTGTTACTTTAGATTGGTTAATTGCCTGAATTGAAACACTAGCTTAAGTTACATATTTCAATGAGTCTGTGTAAAACCTGACATATAAGATTTCGAGGAAAGTTCACCTTAAATGCAATTATGCAAAAATCACAAGTGTTGCACAATTAAAATTCCATAAATTAATCAAAAGGTTAACAAACATAACATTTTTTCAAGGTTAAGCTTTGCACATACTTAAAGAGCAAACATTCTCACCAAGGTAGATACAAACTCCGGTCTACGAATCTGAAGTTGCCTTGTGATGGTGAAGATGTCCACTTCTTTATCCATTGAGAGTTGTTCCAGGGCGTTATAGACAACAGCAAACGCCCCACATCGTGTAGCTCCATCACTAACAGACACATGCAATAAATCAAGTAAAAATAAATCGGGATATTGATGTCGATAAAATGTGCTGGGATTCATTGTTAAAAGGTTCAGACTGATGTAAATGATATCAAGAGTAGATTTTCATTAGAAAATTGCCCAAAATCACACAGAGCTGAGACCTACCTGGACAAAATAAGTATTTTTCCCTCATCTTTGTCTTTCTCTGATCTTGCCTCTTTGACCACGTCAAGTAGCACTCTTTTGTCTGCAAGGGACCTCCCTTCCTTCCAGGTCTTGCATTCCAATACAGTTATTCTCATGTCGCTACCTCCCTACAAAACAAAACGTGTGTGTTACATGAAGCGCATGACCTTTCATGCACTAAGTTAGGAAATTACTGGTACTAATGATATACATGTATAAACATAACAAACCTTTGGATGCAAAACTATATTCCTGGTTGTAAAGTTTACTGAATTTGTTGATGTTGCCAAATTAAGTACAAAACTGCCACAGATTTTGTTCTCGGATTTTGATGGAACCCAAAGGGTTGACTGATAAAATGAGACAGATATTATGATTATTTTAAGCAAGGTTGATATGAGTGTATAGTACGAAAACCATTTTTTTCACGAAATGATATCACTTACATGTTTTTCCTGTGTTTATGTTATATTTTCATATAAAAATCAAATGGACTCATATTTCTTTCTTATTACATCTTTCAATGATATTTATGTTTATATTACGGATTTTATTTCCTTCAAAGGACCAAGGAAAATCACAACACGAGCATCAAAATCTCTGATGAGTCTCAAAAGGTCTTCAGTGTAGTCAGGAAGTGGGTACTGAGCGCTGATTAGACAGTCATTTTCAGTGAAGGACTATCAAAATATAATTATTATGCAATTGATTTTCCTTTTTTCCCTTAAGATCGAGTATTTGATGCAAATGAGTAATCTCACAGTACAATCTCAACTGGATTTTCCAATAAAAAATTAAAAATAATTATATGCGTATAATTATGTAAAATTTGAATTGTTAATTTTCTGGTTTAATTAAAGACATCGAGGAACCATTGCCATCTTTAATTAAGATATAAAGCAGTCTTTCATCTTATCTTTTGGATGAACCACTTTATCCATACGGAAGATGAAATACTAGGAAAGCATTACATTTAAGGACATTATCACGATATAATACTTATAAAAAAAACGACCTGTAGTAGAACAGCGTTGTAGTAGTTGTTTCTTCCCTTTGTATAGGACAAATAACACAGGAATTTTTCCACTGAAATACATATATGAAAAGGGTTAAAATATTAGGGGAAAAACTGTAGAAATTTACAATCATGTTATTTGCAAGATTGTTTCAAACTATTTCTACTGACATGAGTGAAATAACTGATAATATTTGCAAGATTTGTTTTTTGCAAACAGTTTCTACTAACAATTACAACATGAGTGAGATAACTAAACATTGATGTAAAAATTATTATGACCTGCACATCGACCTCTGTATAGTTAGCCGATAGTACAAAAACCTCCATGAAATTTACAATCAATCAGACCGAATTATCGCTACTAAAAATTCCAATTTGATTTAAACATACGGAATTAGACATTTATGTAGAGAATATTGAAGTATACCCGGTAAAACACTCTGTGTGTAGTTGGCTGATTTGTTTGTATGTCCAGATTCACAATCTTTCTCTGCATATTTAATCCGAAGAGACTGTAGTGTCTACAACAATTACGAATGTACACATGTATTCACTGCAAAGTTTAATTAAATTAAATTTTTGATAGATTTCTACATGGCATTTTTTATGCGCCCGTAATCGAAGATTCGCGTGCATATAGTTTTGCCCTGGTCGTCTGTCTGTCTGTTTGTCCGCAAAAACTTTAACCTTGCCCATAACTTTTGAACAGTTGGTGCTTGGGTTTCAAACTTCACTAGTGTATTCCTTGTGACAAGACCTTCCTTTGGATATGGAAATAACTTTAACCTTGGCCATAACATGAGAACAGTTTGTGATAGGGCTTTCATACTACACATGTATATTCCTTGTGACAAGACCTTCCTTTTGATACCAACACCTTTGACACTGACCCTTGAGTTTGATATACTTTTGAAAACTATAACATTGGTCATAACTTTCAAACAATATGCGCTAGGGCTTTCATACTTCACATATGCATTTCTTGTGACAAGACCTTCCTTTGGATACTAACAATTCTGACATTGACCTTGACCTTAGAGTTTGACCTACTTTGAAAAAAATTAACCTTGACTATAACATTTGACGGTTTGGTTTTCGGGCTTTCACATTTCACGATAATGTGTAACACTTGTGACAAGACCTTCATTCGGGCACCATTTGACCTTGACGTTTTACTAACTTTTAAAAAACTTTAACCTTGCCATAGCTTTTCAACGGTTGATGCTAGGGCTTTCATATTTTACAGGTATATTCCTCTATACAAGACACCGTTCACGGTAGCTCAGTCGGTAGAGCGCTCGCTCCGTGATCGGGAGGTCGTGAGTTCGAATCTCGGCCGCGACAGACCTAAGTTGATAAAAAATAGGTAGCAACTGTTCCTTCGCCATGCGCTCGGCACTTTGAAGTGAAAGTTGCGGGTACTTCGGATGAGACCTTAAAAACCGAGGCCCCGTGTCACGGCAGGCGTTGGTACGATAAAGATCCCTCACTGCTCAATGGCCCTGAGTGCCGAGTAAAGGTCAAAATTTGAGGCCCTTCACCGGTATATGGTGACGTCTCTATATGAGTGAAAAATTCTCGAATGGGACGTAAAACAATATACAATCAATCAATCAATCTAGACAAGACCTTTCTTTAGGTACCAACATATTTTTTATCTCTTGACCTTGAGCTTGACTTGCATTTGATAAACTTTAACTTTCTCCATAAGCTGCCATACAGGGGCATCAGTATTTCACAAACACATCTCGTTTAATTTTTATTATTACTGGTATCATCTAAAGTTGTATTAAAAAATGGTACAATCATTATTAAATTGTAAATCATTTCGTTAGGTAGTAACCGTATATAAATCACATTACATGTTCTTGATTTGATAATAAACTGAAGAAACGTGCATTTTTTTATTCTAAAGTGCGATGAATTTACCTGGAAGTCTGAAGACAGGGAAGTTGTACTTGAAACTTCCCCACAATTTGTGTAGCAAGATCTATCTTGAGATTGTTGTGAAAGTGATTCAGCTGTTAGACACCTGGATCTCCCACTGAATGATTCACAAAGGGCAAGATACACGACTCTGTACTGGTCCTGATTGATGAGAAAGTTGTATGTTTTATAATGCAGAATCGAGTACAATCTTTATATAAAATTATAAGCATGTACAGATATAAAATATGCTTACGAGAATCGAGTTAACCACGTACAGAAATATGTTATAAAAAACCTTAGTGCAACAACCCCCCCCACACACACACAAAAAAAAAAAATTAGCTCTTTTCTATAAATCTATAAATATTGATATATGTAGTAGTTTAGGGTATAATAAATAAACTAAACACTAGAAGAAATCATTGTTAATAAACTTTTTCCGAGGAGTGAAAAAAAACCCGAACATTTTCTGGGCAAGAGATCAAAGAGACACCAAACCCTAGCTGTCGGCTTTGTTTTCTCGGAATGTTCTCAATATTCCTCCAGCTAGATGCAATATATGTTTTTGTCTGTTACACACAACCGTCTGTAAAAATCTACGGGGAAGTGTATGTGCTAGATAATATCAATCAAAGGGCGTGGTTTCTTTTCTCAGAGGGTACCAATCTGTATCTCTCAAAAAATCAGATTCCACAATTATATATGAAAAAAAGTTTAATTACCCTTCTGTTTCATATTCCAACAAGGCGTACGAGAACGTTTTATCGATTCATAGAAGACTGAGAAAATTAAAAAAAAATGTGTCAGTAAATGGACATTTTTTCTCGTCTAGCATTATTTCTTATTATTTTGAATGTTTCATTTGCCAATATCAATTTTTTCTTACTTAGTTTACTATATTGAAGCTATAATTGTCTGACCCTTTGCTTATTTATTAATGCAAATGCATACAGAAGTAGCATAAATACTGGAAATGTAAGAAAAAAGTGATATATTGCATTTCAGCATTTGAAATCTAATTTGTTAACACCATGTAATTTACTATTCATTTACATATATTTCTAATAGCTGTTTGACTGAAACTTATTAAGGTAGATAAGATTATCCTTATCTTTTTCGTAACCTGTATATGTTTGCTAAAATACTTATATTGGAAAAAAGTGTTTACAAAAGATTTGAATGCTTGTCATTTGTCAGGAAAAGTGTTTAGTGTGAAATCATTTATTTTCTTTAGGGTTAAAACTTTAATTTTCATTGTTTTCTTGGTGTGACGAGACCATCGAATTATGTCCTCCACGAACTGTAAAATATTAAATGTGTAACGACGTTGCACTCTTTCAGCCACGAAGTCAAATTCCCTCGATCCAATTTTTTATCCTCAAACCTCCAAAATGTGACCCCTTGAAAATATGTGATTTTATGGTATGCTTCAGATTCGTTGCGGGATGCTGTGTACTGATTCTTATAACAGTAACAGCATAGTTATGGTTATTTGTTTTTCTGATGATGCTACTGTATGTCATACATTCATTTACACGTAGTTGGTAACTACGAAAAAGAAACATACAAGTCTATCTTGCTTTTGTAAAAGAAATTATTTCAACATCTAAAACTAACATTGTCTGGATAAAACAAATCTTTTCTCTTTTCATTTCGTTTCGAAATGAGATTCTTTTTCTTGTTCAAATAGTTATTGATGTTAAGGCTTGAATAGAATATTTACATTGAAGTAAGACATGCTAAGATATGAATTTTTTTTTAAATTTCGAAAATTTCCCAACAAATCAGATTTACGATGGTTTAATTCGTCTTTTGAGAGAGCATTACAAACAAGGAAATATTTGGACAGGTAATACAGGGAAATATCTTTGCATGATAACAGTGAAACGATTGGAAAAGATTATTAACCTTTAGTTTCTATTTCTTTAATTGAGGAAGGGTTTGGGGAGAAATACATCATAAGAATTTAAGAAGGGTGGAATGAGGAAATTTTAATAGCTAATTACGTTTAAAACTTCTTCTGGCAGGTGATTTAAAGGGAAATATTACTGCCAGTGTTTTTTAAATTATATGAAAGAAAATTATGCATCATACTATTATGTTAATAAAGCTTTTGTTTCCAGGAGACCAAGCCATATTATGTAACCTAAATAATGCTTCCCTGTTGTGCTTAAGACAAAGAATGCGGAAAATATCGTGCATATCCTTGTAGAGTATGGACAGGAAGAAAGAATAACCATAGAAGCGCCTCTTTATTAATATATTCTTTATGTATAAGCTGATTTGTATCAATGCAAGTATTTACGGAAAATCCCATGTCAGTAAAACCAAATGTTAAAGGGACTTTTCTTTTTTAAATAAAAAATTGGGACCAAAATCTATTATTTCAACAAATTTTGTATAAAACTGATACGTTTAAATTTGGTAAAATAATGTAAAATACACATTTAAAGCCGTTTTTTCTTCTCAAAGAATTCAGAAAAAGTTAACGGAATAAAGCAAAATAAATTAAAATTACATCTCCTTGTATCATGTTCATTCTGTCTTTTCTCATGGTCCTGACGTACATCGGTACATTAATTCTGCCATTTCTCTCCCCGTCCCGGTAGAGGGCGTCCAAAGCTAAGTATGTTCCGGTTCTCCCAATTCCAGCACTGGAAAAATAAAGCATCTGAATATTTCATTTAGGCTTCATCATAATATTTTTTCGTAGTTTTATCCATTTAAATGTGAAGGTAGCAAACAGTGATCGATATCATGAATCCAGAAAAATATACGACAAGTGATCAGGGGAAAAAAACTCGGACCCCCGGAAACACAACAGGAGGGTTCAGGTGACTAGGAGGAGTAACCATCCCCTGTTGAACGGTCACACCCGCTGTGAACCCTTTGTATTGATTAGATAGATACATTAATCTGTAGTCAAATTTACTTTACAATTGGTATGAAACATAGACAAAATACCACCAAACGATGGGCTGTATTTGCAAACAAGTTTATATTTATCTCGCTCTTGTAATAAGGGTTCTTGAACTTGAAATAAGCAATGAATTCACAATGAGGTACAGTATGAAACCAACATGTCCTTCACATGGTAACGCATTTTATTCTTGTACATCTAGAATTAGTAGGCAGATAGGCAGACAAAATATTAAATAAAAGGAAAGAGGGAATGATGATCCACGCTAGTTCATCAGTCTTTAATATTTTATATGACTTTACCAAATAAAAAACTTACTCTAGGTTTTCATTCTGATTTTAACTAATATTTTGAATGTTAAATGTGCCGATGACTTGTTATTAAATTTAATGCTATCCTTTTTATTGTAAAATTCGAAATAATTACGTTTTAGCTTAGTGATTCAAGCTTTAAAATGAACATTATGACTATATTTCGAGTCAAAAGAGTTAAAATGGCACTTACGGTTTTGTACAGAAAGATCACTTAAATGTAACATATTTAAAATGAACAAATTTTACTCAGTGAAAAAAAAAATGTGCCTGACGTAAAATTTTGAAGCTTCAATAGTTATTTTTAGCAAATTACATGACAAAAAAATGACCATTTAAAAAAATGCACTAAAATGTTCATGTTTTCTTGTGGTATATATATTTGATGATAGATATGCTTCATCAGATGTTAGCAGTGTTAATATAAATTTTAACCACACGTCATGTTTTCTCTTCTTAGAGTATTTGCAATTTTGGAATCAGAACTGGTTTGGTACTGGCCTGATTTGGTTAAGCCTTCTGGCTGGCTTTCCTTTTTATATCACATATACCATAGAATGATTTGATATACAATGCGCATGTGTGTGTGTTTATCAATAAACAGCAAACGCTGATTGGTTGAAAACTTCAATGCAACACATTTAGATTAAAGCATAAATTTTGTATAAATAGTTGAGCAGATAAAAAAAGACACCGAATAAATACAGTAGAACTGGGTTGAAAACATTTGCCAGGAATTTCAAAAATGTTTCTCTGTATCTGCAAATAATTCGTTATGTCCAGTTAAAACTGAGATATTTTCCCCTTTTTGGTAAAGATTGTCAGTCTCTTTAAGCCGATTTCGAAATATTCGCGGTTTGCTATTAAGTGATTTACTGTATTCATTTGAAAGACTGAACATAGTTCTAAATATGTTGAAGTTAAGAATAATATTAAAATAGACTATGAGAAGAAAAAAATAACTTTACTCTACATACTGTAAATAATTTCCTGCAATAATTTTATTAAAATCATTCAGTAACATGCCTTTGCCTTTAAATTTAACAATACTAATTGATTGTATCTTAAAGTTATATGCTATACAGATTTGAATGAAGTCGAAAAAGAGAAGAAATGAATATATCGATCCAATCTGCTACAATGTTAAGTATGCAGTTCTTTGCCTAATCAGCTCTACCCTGGAGGTTACATATAGTATTTTATGTATTTCCTAGAAGTCCAACACTAACCCAATTACATAGGTCAGCAAGATATGTTTGAAAAATGCAAATTAACACCAAGATGTAATTCGGTCTAGTGGTTTTCTGAGAAAATTATGAATAAAAAATTAGATTTTTAGGTCCAATCATGACCAAACTGACCTCTCGTCTACTTGACCTTTGGATAGGACCAAGATTTGTCAACCCATCATGAGATACTTCACTTAAACCTTGTTTATACAGCGAGCTTTATTCATATGCAGATAATTTGCATTAATGTAAATGTATTCATTTATTAAAGCACCTGCATATATGCAGAAAAAATACTCCTGTCAGCAGATGTACACCTAGTCAGGGCCAGGTGTTTATTCATTTGAGAAAGCAAATGCTGTGTGCTGAGAGGTTCAATTGTGGATTTTCGTGATCGAGCTTTTCACAAAGCCTTCTACTGAAAAAAATCAGCCCCTTTCTTAATTCTAATATTCTCTAATCTTTGTTCTTCACTTACTTTTTCAAGAACATCATTCAAACCACATCTTTAATTGTGGTTTTTCTACTCATTTTAAGCTCAGTGAAGCATCATGCATAAACTGTAATCCAAATGTTGAATACATGAAAAAGAATTTTCACTCTCCATGCAGTATAAAACCATTCGTATGGAAATCATGAACCAAAAAATAATGGTAAAGTAGAATTCTTATGAGATTTACTCACAGTACAACAAAAAATCGCACGCAAAACGCGTAGAACATATACTTTTGCACACTGTGGCAAATTTGCTCATGTTTAAATATGTATATGAGTAAATTTCTCAATTTAAAAAAGGTATGAGTTATAATTTTAATTATGAGTTTTAACTTCCAGGTCTTCTTGGCTTATCTATTTGCAAAATTATGAAAATTCACTAGAATTAATCTTCCTCTGTACCGAATACATGTAAGAGCTTGACGCTTTGAGTCTTTTGATCAAGACCTTATTTAAAATGACCTTAAGGTGAATCCATAAGGTTGCATCAAGTTCTTTCACTGGATGAACAGAACATCTCTTTTGTATTAAGCAATGGAAGAAAAAATCAAAATTTCTCTATATTTGACTTTCCGGGTTTCTGATCGGTCGATTAACTCGATTAAGTGTTCAATATCACTTGGTGTTTATAAACATTCTTAGAATAATCCTTCATTGAAAATATCTAGGCAGTCCTTGAAAAGAGTGTCTTCAATTATTCATTTGAAAATTTTGATAGGCACTAATTGTGCTCCCTTATCATCCAACCTGTTCGTATATTCTAACGAATCAGAAATTACTCAAAACCTTTTACGTGAGATGAAGGAGAAAAGTCTAACCGTTTCTTTCAATTCATCATTTCATTATATGGATGACATTTTTTCAATCAATAATAGATATTTTCAATATGTCAAATCGATATATTCCAGTGAACCTTAAATAAACGATGCCAAAGAGTCTGCCTGACCTGTTTCATGCTTGGATTCTTTACTGACTGTAGACGTAAATGGCCAACTAAAAATTAAGCTATACAGCAAGTAGGATGACTTTAGCTTTACCATTATAAACTTTTCCTATTTATGCAGTAATATTCCATTTTCACATGCAAATGGGGTTTACGTCTTCCAGTGGATTCGGAGCATGTTTCGAGTACAATTCTTTTAACAGGAGAGAGAGAGAGAGAGAGAAAGTCTTTGTTATTAAAGAATTTCAATAATAAGATATCACAATATAACCTGCAGTGGACCAGCATGTACTTTCCAGTCTGTGATGACGTTTTCATCACGTGACGGTGGAACACAACAAGACTAAGTGGATTAGGGACTCCATGATCTGGCCACCGTGTGTAATGAAGCATCAGCACTTCACGGTCTTTTTTATCCTATTAATAAGAAATTATAAAGATTATGCTCCTTACCATGCCTCATTATTGATTTCTATTGACCTGACTTTAACATTGTTATCCATTTTTCATTGCATAGAAATGATTCGATTATAAAGAGTCAGACCGATAGATGTGCATACACTGTAACATATTGGAAAATTTCAAAAAAACATGCTATACTTTTTATCAAAAGCATTAATAAAGACAATAAATGCCAATCAGAACAAGTCTCTACAAACAATTTTTTTTCTTTTTTTCACTGTGTGAGATCCAATTTTTAATGAACTAAAATTAAAAAAAAATATCAGGATGAAGATGTTTGAGAACTTCAGGAAAAGGTATCGGCTGCTTAAAGGGGGGGGGGGTATACTTGTCAAGTATCTGTAAGTTTATGACTACAACATTTTTTCACCATACGAGATGCCATTAGTCGATTTTATCTGAATGTTTCTAAAAACAGATACTTCAAATTTTCACAGCTCAGGTAAAGTTCTTAGTAGAAATATCGGCGATTTTTAAAGACAAAAGTACATTCTTTACAAGGATGATTACTTTTTTTCAGTAGTCTACTTATATCGGACAAAAGTAAAATGGTTAAAAACAACAGGTTGAGGAAGATTAGATTTTTTTAGACTTGTCACGTCATGTAGCACTGAAGTGATTATAGCAAATATACTTGCAGAATTTAGGTTATCTATAAATAGATAGGGTATAACCGATTGAAAAATACAAGTTATATTTGTAAATTTTTTCAGCATTCTTTGTAGTTTGTGAAAATCCTGCAAACCTATATAGATTCTACTATCTAATTGCTAAAACTATATTTGTTATAGACCGCATGTTGAATATTTTGATGGACAACTACATTAAATATAGTAATAATTCATTTGCAAGATTTCATCAGGTTCGCAGCACTTTTCAAATGTTTAAATACCTATTGAAATTATGTATTTAAACTTGGCATGATCCATTAAATGTATGTCCTTGCAATATATCAATTATTTAAGACCCTTCTATTTCTCTCCTCGACCATGAGATGATATTTTTTCATGTTTGCCCAACTTAAATTTGTTAATGATCCTACCGCAGGTTCAACCGTCACGGTAGCTTAGTCAGTAGAGCGTTCGAGCTGTAATCGGTAGATTGTGGTTTCGAATCCAGGCCGCGTTTGACCTAAGTCGAAAAAAATAGGTAGCAACTGTTCGCCAAGCGCTCGGCACTTTGAAGTGAAAGTTGCGGGTCCTTTGGATGACACCTTAAAACTCGAAGCCCTTCACTGCTCAATGGCTCTGAGTGCCGAGTAAAGGTCTAAATTTGAAGCCCTTCACCAGTATACGGTGACGTCTCTATAAGAGTGATAAATTCTCGAATGGGACGTAAAACAGCATATAATAATCTATTACTCTCCAATGAATCTGCATACGAATGTTCGGTAGTATTACTTGACTAGGAAAGATACGGAAAATATATGAAAAAAATTCCTTTAAAGGGCATAGCATCGAAGTTAGTGGCCTCTAACATCAGCAAATAATATTCTATTTCATTACAAAATGCGTTTTTACATTGTGAAAATATTACTTGATCCGCCTGTCACTGCATACAAATTGCGTCAAAATGTAGAATATGACATCATTTAGACACGTGAATTGCGATCAGTGAAATGTGTATAACTTGCTGTGTGGGATTTAATTAAAGACAGAACTTTATGCTACAGTAAGTTGTGATGTAGTTTTAAGCTCCAAAAGATTAAAATCGCAGATCATTTTATTTTGAGGTAATTTGAGAAACTGTTATTTTTGTGTGATGTCATGTAGTAAATACTTCCTGTATAAATTAGGTCCCGCTCCTTTTTGAGGCCTTAAATGTGCTGTGTATTTGTAACTGTGTTGTCATAATGAGTATGACGTAACAACGTTTATTTTTATGAGATACTGCTGTAATAGAAACATGGATTTTAAAGATATTTGAAATAAATAAATAAATAAAACATAGAAATTTACCTCGGTTCAGGTCCTAATTAATTAAAGCTCAGGAAAACCAAATCAACAAATTTCATGCTAGTTCGACATACTTTCTGTAATCTATGTAGGGATTCACACTAAGCTATATTACAATTTTATTCATTTTTAAAAAAAAAAAAAAATGCACACAGGTATATCAGGACTATCTAAAAACATGAGCTTGATTTTTCAAAAGTATAATTTTGATTAGTAATGCATTTTTTGAATCAGTCCCCGCATTCCACACTCCTCTTTCATAATATTATATTTACATTTGCAAATGTTTTCTTTTATATAACACTATTGAAAGCAACGCGTATCTATATCCGTATAAACAAGGGTTCCTCGCGTCATAAACGTTCGACGTAATTTTCAGGGTTGAGGCGCAATCAATAGATCAAACTCGTGCTGTTGAGTTTGAAAGTAAAATATTTCACGCGTGAAAGATTATAATCAGGCAAATATAAAATATATATAAGTCAAATGTAAATATAAGTAATAAGGTATCATTTTAAAACATCTATCTGGATATAAATACGGGTTTGTATGAGATCAAATTCTCGTGCCCAACCCGTATTTATATCCCGATATAGATGTTTAAAAACAATACCTTATTTCTTAAATAATGATACTATTATGATGCCCACAGGTTATTTCAATTTTGCTGTATAATTCTGATATCCTACGGTGCTTTCATGATCGTAGTGGCTATGCAGCACTTAAGAGAGTTATGATATTAAGGCATTTCCACCCTCTTGTGATGTCATAGGTTTTTGCAAAAAACTTTATTAATTTAAATTCATGCCCAATAGAAATACATCTTTGTGAAGAATGCATTTCAATAGGTGTAATGAAAAATATTGTTAAGTAAATTAATTTAAAAGATGAAAATTTTCTTTATTTTCTTAATTATTTAATCTTTAAGAAATGTTTATAAGGGCAATAACTCCTTCTCATGTATTTTCATTCAGGCATTTCCTTTATTGTACTTCTGAAGTAAAATGGTTTTCCTGATATTCATAATTCAAACATATTTATAAAGTAACATATTTTGGGACTTTCAGCATCAGAATTATGTTTCTGAATCATTTTTTAGTTAATTTTTATAATATTGTGTACTAAAAATACACTATTTTTATGCTGACATATACTTCTGCTTATTTATGTCGTACATTTTAAAAAAATAGAGCAACCTATACAATTCATTTTTTTTTTTACAATTATTAATCAATTTAAACTTTATTCAGTGAAAATAAATGCAGTTTTTCTACTTTGAACCTATAAAATTGTGATGGTGGAAATACCTTAAACGATCTACTAGTCTAGCTGTTAGGAATATATTATCTTAACGAAGCCTAGCTGCTTTTGATCTTGAACGCAGGCAAAATTTTATGAACCAAAGACGATAATTTAACAATTTGCAATGCCTAACATTCTTCATAATGTATATATACACGATGGTTTTAAATTGAACGTAAACAACACGTTTTTGCTGATTATTATGCATTAAATGCAATAAAATATATATATTATGTATCAGATAATTGGAATCGCTGAGAGTTCGAGACAGATCTATAGGTATCAATGGAAGTTTTGAATAGATTTACATTTAATCCAATAAGAATAATTCTGAGCATGCGCGTTTATTGTAAAATAGCAGCTTCCCTACAACACAGAGTATATAAGAGGTGTGTTAGCATGGATATCGTTTTTTGGACCGTGCATTTTTGGTGCGATGTCGTTCGTTCGATTTATTGTTTTCTTTTATTCCAATCGTGTTATTTTATTTGTAACAAGTTAAATCAGCAAAACGGAATATGGATCAAACGGCGGGAATTTGTCTATTTGGATTAAACACCGCCATTATACGAGGCATTTTTGCAAACGAGGTCAATGAATCCATCTGTTTATCATTGGAAATTACATAAAAACTCCGAGAGGGGCTAATGTTGCAAAATGTAGGAACATCTTTTAGAGAGGTATGTTGATTTTACTTGTACGTTGAACACGATCACACTTTAGACACTGTCTTTTTTGGATTTATATGTAATAATTCAATCTTTCCCGTGTTTTTCTTTGATCTTTTTTTCCCTCAAAGTATACGTATTTTGCAATCATTTTGGAGAATATCTGCTAAATGTTCAGCATGGTGAAAAGCAAAAATAGATTCAACTTTTGGCCTGTCCGAGAATGGTTGTGTTTGTCTTTAAGTATGCATTTACTAATTTGACTGTAAATACATCTTCATCGAATTAGAGAAACGTTTCTGGCAATTTTTGCTCTCAGTAATGCATCAAATTATATTTAATTGTAAGCATTTGTATGCGAATTGAAATTTATATAACACTGTATTAAATACGAAAATTAAATAAAAATAAAGCAAACTAAAACAATTAAATAAAGAAACAAAACATCAGCACAGAGACATCTTTCAGTTATGTAAATATATCAAACATTATCAGATTAAAAACATTTTGAATTATAGGTATAAGCAAAAAACATCAAAGATTAATAGCAACTTTTTCTAGGAATTTATTTTTCTAGTAGTTTTGGAATGTATTTTTTTTAACAAAAACTCGCATTAACTGTACAATAGTTTTAGTTGATATTGGGCTATTTATTTATTTACTTTTTTTTTAACAAAAACTCGCATTCATTGTACCATAGTTCTAAGTTTATATTAGGCTTTTTATTTATTTATTTATTTATTTATTTTTTTACAAAAACTTGCATTTATTGTACTATAATTCTAAGTTGACATTAGGCTATTTATTTATTATTATTATTTTTCTTTTTACAAAAACTCGCTTTTACTGTACTATAGTTCAAAGTTGATATTAGGCTATTTATTAATTTATCTATTTATTTATTTTTTTACAAAAACTCGCATTTACTGTACTATAGTTCTAAGTTGATATTAAGCTATTGTAATATATATTTGCTTCATACCAGATTGTTGTACACTTTGAAGCGTCTTGACGTGTAATTAGCATATATCTTCTCTTCCAGGTTTCTTATTATAAAGATGCCATGCTGCACTTTGTCGCTAAAATTCGGCCAATATTGAGTACATTTAATCTGCAAGAAAAATATGGAGTTAATTGGCCATAGCACTCTCCCCTACATTGCTATGAAGTATCACGTATAAACACCAATCCACAGTTCATTATGGTGATAAAAAATACAATATGAAACAATGAAGTTAATTGCACCTTAGCACATTTAAAATATTTCTCCTTCAAGTATGTAAAAATGTATCCTTGTACATTTTTTTTTAAAAAGGATAAATCAGTTTTAACTCCAATCTTAAGGATTGTGTTTTGAGTAACTTAAATCACGTAAACATGGAGGTCTTTGATTATTTTTACATTCTGTGGCTTTTTCTTTGCTGCTTACTATTCTTTAGGATAAATTTTGGAAAGATATTTTTCTTTGTTTACATGTACAGTCTAAAGACGCATAAACCATTGATCTTTTATCTAATCAGTACCTGGGTTTTGAAAACATAGATATTAAAAGAAATTCACTTATTTTTTTTTTAAATTGATTTACATGTAAAATCTAGCAACCCAAATTATATGTTTTATGGGGAAACTGGGCGATATCCATCGATAACATGCATAATACGCCCAGACTTCACAACTGTATGTCTAATTTGGACTTATAGCACTATCAATTAGATTTATTTGACAGACAACTGACAAATTAAAGTCAGACGACACGTTCCGCGAAAACATATAATTTTTCCCAAGAAATTGTCATTGAAGTATAGATACTTAGCAAGTTTCCTCACCAAAAATTGAGGTACCTTACCAGGCATTTGGGCAAGAAACCAGAGGGTAATATTTCTTATGTCATCCTTATGGGTAATCTTATAATGTAACAATTTTTTGTGTACTCATATTTTAAAACATATTGAAAACAATTTAGAAATCACAAGTGAATGACAATATGAATAAGTTATTATAAGATACCAAGGTATACAAAACATATTTGAGGAACGTGTCGTTTGGCCTTAAAGTATCTTATTTCTCTAGGTACTAAATACATGGGTTTTGAAGTTTGTTTAGTTAAATGCGTTTTTGTACTTCTGAGCAATCCTCTTCGATACATAATTATACCTAAATATTGAAATTCGTTCACAATTTCAATTGGTGTACCTTTATATAATAATCTTCTTCGAAATTCTTCCTCAGGGGAAAATGAGTAATTTAGTCTTTTCTGTGTTTACTTGAAGCTTCCAATGATCACAATAATAAAAAAAAATATTCACAGACTTTTGTAGATCTTCTGGGTTGTCAGATTATAAAGCTGTGTCATAGGCATCAAAGAGTATGAAATGTTAAACATAGCTTGCCTTCCATTTTCTAATTTCCCACTTAAGCTCGTAAGCCATTCAATGTCATTGGACAAAAGATAGCTTTTTCAATCTTTAATGTCTGTCGTAAAGAGAAAATGTGATAGATTTTCACCCTGTCTCACCCCAAGGTTACATGTGAAAAACTCTGAGGTGTTTTGATCAGTACATATCTAAAATGTAATATATTCTTAATATCTGACAAACACCTATTGTTTAATTTTTAATTAAATTTAGTATACCAGTTTTGCTCCCTCCTTGGGCCTGAACACTAGACACAGGGAACATGATTCACCCCCATCTTGAATTAGGGCTCCTTATGTATTATAATTATTTCATTGTTTGTCAATGAGCAAAGAAAAGATTTCCATAGGTTTATATATTTTCAATATACGACTAACTTTACCTCGTCTTGGTACCTGAACCAGGACGACACGATTTACAAACTGTATATGGAGGTTAAAGTTTTTTTTTTCCCGATAAGTTCCAATGAGTAGGACAGAATACGTTTTCAATATATGACCATTTAAATCCCAAACAGACATAGACCCAGGTGCCACGGAATTTTTGCGACTTTGGTAAAATGTTAAGCACAAATTATAACCATGCAAACAATTCGCCTGCAAAATATACCTGTCCGGTAGTTCAGTGTTAATGCATGACAAATTTATCCACACTATTCAGTCTTAATCTTGTATCCAGGGCTCATGACATTTACAATTTTAGTAAAGGGCTTATTGCTTATTAGTATTATGCCAGCAGTTTGCATTACGTTTGAAGCTTTTGGTCCCAACCTTAGGCTTCAGGGATGCAGGACAACGCATGATGACGGACGAAAGCAGATTGAGTTCATTTGAGTGACTCAGGTGACCGAATAATTGCATACATTTTTTTTGAAAACAGCTTTTGAGTAGAAATATTGAGCTGCTGATTTTTTAAGGCTGCTCTTCTTTCATATATAGTTATTTTGTTTTGAATTGTAGATATACATTCCAGACATTAACTGGCTTTTAAAACACAACTTCAGGTGACAATGAAAAGGCAGTATTTCCCTATATTTACTCAAACAGTAAGTAGCTGAGAGAACATCTATGAAAGCAATACATATAATCATATGTTACAGTGGTTTAGTTACTATTCATTATTAACAATCAAACCTTTGTCCCTTCTTTTAGATTGGTCAGACAAACAATGGTATTTACACATTCCTGCCATACCATCTTCCAGAAGTCAACCACTGTTTTTGGCTTTGGTCCTGTCAAATATGATAATATATATAGATATTTGGAAGAGATGGTTTTTTTTGTTTTATCTACAATTATATTTACATCAATAAATAATGTACCTTGAGTTGCAATATACTTTCGGTTACTCTGTGTATCCTATTGACGAAAAAAGTATAAATTTATTTTGACAGGTTTGAAAAAGTATGAACAATTATCTAACAAATTTATTATAAAGGAAATCATCTGAAGCAAGCCAGAAGACAATTTTAAGCATTTGAAGAGAAAATACCCGTTTCATCACTGATAGGAAAGTTTAAAAAAAAGTTTAAAAAGGATATATCTGCGTCTCAATATGAGGTAAAAATTCTCAAGAGGGACTTTAAACAAGAAACAAATCAAAAGGGATAATTTTTTTCACGGAAAACAGCGTTTTATCACTAGTATTCTTATCACGAGCTCACAAAAATATTTCAGCATGTCATTTTAGATAAAGCTTTGTTTGTCTCTTTCTCAACAACGGTTTGTGTACACTTTCGATTTGGTGCTTAAAATGTCAATGATATAATAATACTTTCCTTGATATAATTGGCATTGATGTAATCACTTTCATTAGGAGATGAGGTTTTCAATACAACTCGTGAGTGATCGTCTGTAGAACAACATGAAAAATACAATATAATTCATATCTTTTAATTAAAACAAAACCCCAAACAAACAAAACAATGTGTTTTTATATGTATAGCAGTACTCTAGTTGTAAAACTTACATGGAAATGTAGTTGTATATCTGTTTTTAGGTTTATTTTCAGGCTTCTTAGATTCTTCACAGGGAAATAGTTCACCTCTAGGAATTTCCTATTAAATCAAGAAAACATATTACATGGAAAATATTGATGTGTCAAAAGTGTTCAACGCTTATTCAAGATTGCTTTTATATCCCAACATGAATGCACAAAGTCGTCATTAACTGTTATACATGTATATGAAGAGGAATACCTGATTATTATGAAAGGGAAGACCTGAACATTTTGTCCGATTGGATTAAATGATTAAGAAATATATTAAAGAATCGTGTTACAAATGAAGTAGGTGAAGATAACGAACAGTTAAAAGGCAATATGCTAACCATATATCCTTCCGTTTTCACTAAATCGGACTTGATAAAAGAATTAAAAGGACTACATGAACTGTATGTAAAGGTTCAAGCTGAGAAGGCTTGTAACAATATCGTCTTTGTTTCTAAGGCTCATTATTTTAACTGTATTTTAGAAGAACTTGGTTTCAATTCTATATCTGAAAATCCTACTTATACTCACAGTTCACTTTCAAAGGATGAAATTCTTCAAAACCACATTTCAATGTCTAATACTTTTAATATTCCAGTCAACAATGGATAGTTCAATCTACCCTACCTATCTGGATTCCTACATCTCATAAAAATCTTTACAAAGATACATTGCCGGGTCCAGCAAGTGCTCTACAAAGTCCCTTGCTTTACTCCTCACAGAAATATTAATTGCCGTGATGGAAAAACTTGAGACGTACTGTACCGCAGCATATTTTGGATGAAGTGTAAATCAAATGTAAATTCTCAAATACTCCAAAGAAGTTTGGAAATATTTAAAAGCACTTTTTGAAAAAAAAACCCAAAAAAAAAAACAAAACAAAAAAAAAACAAGTTATATGAAAACGTATGATTTTTCTACACATTGTACAACCATTTCTCATGATACATAAAAAAAACTTCTGATATCATTAGGAATTGCTTCTTCAATACAAATGGAACTCGGAAATTTTCATATATCATCAACAAAATTACTTTGTTGAAAATCACTCTGATTCTTCACTGATATTAAAATAATGTTAGATTTCCTCAATGACAACATTAATGTAGTCTTTGGAGACCAGGTCCTCCAACAATCTTTCGAAATTCCCATGGACACAAATTGTGCTCCTTGATTGACCGACTCTTTTTAAATATTTCTATTCAAAGACATATATTAGAAGAAGAAAACACTTGCTATGGCCTTTATCTAGACATTCAGATACGTAAATAACTTTGTATTCGTGAGAACTTTATTTGTGCGTAATTACTAGCTGCAGAACTGTAGCTCTCCGAAAAAAAAAATGACAGACCGGAAAGCTACAGTGCCACCCATAGAAAAAAACTGTATATTTATTGCGCACAAAAAAGTGCGCTGTTTCTCGATTTATTTCTCCGTATTTTTAAACTGAAATCTCTAAATATTACTGACCGTGTGTTCCTAACACATTTTTGAACTATTCCCACATCAAAACATTTCCTATAACCGTTGTTAATAGCCATCCTGGGCCTGAAATTAAGACCATCCAAAATTTTGCTTGTTAATACTGCCATTTTGGGTGGCTAGACAATTTGGCCAAACGCGCTTCGTAAAGATGTCAACTACAAGAGAAATTGATAGAGGTCTAAGGAATTTTTTGAAATCGAGCTTTTGTGCAGTTGGGGTAAGAATTTGGAGAAATTAATCGAGAACCGAGCGCAACTTTTTGTCAGCAATAAATATACAGTTTTTTTTATGGATGGCACTGTAGCTCTCTGGTCTGTCTTTTTTTTTCGGAGAAGTACAGTTCTGCAGCTACGTAATTACGCAAGTCTGTCTGCTCGCGAAAATGTTACTCTCTCTTTAGATCGAACAATGTTTGTTACCTTAACCTTTTTTCATTCTCAAGGATGCGAATATATTTCTGTTAAATATCAAGTGTTTGTTTCTATCATGTATAATGCAAAGATGTATTAATTTTATATTTGAAATCGAACGAGGCATTTCATTTTTAAATCGAACAAAGCAGGTAATAACATTGTCTTTGTTTGTAAGGCTCATTATATTAAATGTATTTTAGAGGAACTTAGATTTAATTCTACAAGTGGTAATCCAACTTATACTCATAGTTCCCTTTCTAAGGAAAATATTCTTTAAAATCATATGTCAGTTTTGAATAGTTTTAATATTCCAAACAACCAAAATGAATTTGAATTACCATATCTATATTGGATTCCAAAACTTCATAAAAATCCTTACAAACAAAGATACATAGCGGGTTCCAGTAAATGTTCAACCCTGCCTTTTTCTTTACTCCTCACTAAGATGTTAACAGTAGCGGAGGAGAAACTTCAGAGTACTGTGCAACAATATATTCGAGAAGTGGTGTAAATCAGATGTGGATACTTAAAATTCCAAGGAACTTTTGGAAAATTTGAAATCACAAGATTTTACCAAATTCAACAGCTAAAAAGCTTCCGACTTTTCAACTTTATACACAACCATTCCCAGCGATAAATTAAAGTCCATGCTTTTTGATATCATTGACAGCTGCTTTTTCAATAAAAATGGAACTCGTGAATTAACTTACCTTGTAATTGGTCATTTGCAAAATTATTTTCTTAAAAAACATTCTGATTGTACACACATGTACTCTGAAGTTGACATTAAAAGATGCTTGAGTTTCTGATTAACAATATCTATGTGGTTTTTGGAGACCAGGTCTTCCAAAAATCTATTGGAATTTCCATGGGTACAAATTGCGCCACGTTATTAGCAGACCTCTTTTGTATTCATATGAAGCAGAATTTGTCCAAAATCTTATACGTGAAAAGAAGAAAACACTTGCTCTGGCCTTCAACTCGACATTTAGATATATCGACGACGTATTGTCAATTAACAATGGTCATTTCCATTCTTATGTCGATATTAATATATCCAGGTGAGCTTGAGATAAAAGATAACACAGAGTCTGACACATCTGTTTCATATTTGGATATTTTACTTGAAAAAGGTAATCTAACAAGCAAGCTTTATGATAAACGTGATGACTTTAACTTTTCAATCGTCAACTTACCTTACATATGCAGCAATATACCTTCACCACCTGCATACGGGTTTTATATCTCTCAGTTGATTCGATACGCAAGAGCATGCTCTACGTATGTACAGTTTCTAAAACGAGGTAAATTACTGACGAACAAGTTGATGAAACAGGAATATCAGCAGTCTCTTTTAAAGTCATAATTTCGTAAGTTCTATGGTCGATACAATGACCTTGTCAGGAATTACAATTTATCATTGAATCAAATGCTGACTGACTTTTTTATACTAATTGTTAGACCATTATTTTCACACTGAATTGTCGACGGCTTTTTCCGTTATTTCCCGATCATGACAAGGAGCACACGGCGGGTGTGACCGGTCAGCAGGGGATGCTCACTCCCCCATGGCACCTGATCCCACCTCTGATGTTTTAGAGGTCCGTGTTTGCTCTGCTCCTATTTTGTATTGTTTAATGGACTTTTGAGCTTGAATACTGTTCGTTATCGCCATATATTTCATCGTAAATACTCAGAGAAAATTAATATTATGTAATTTAATATTCTCATACATGATATTCGTGTTTGAATCCAGCGTTTTCGGCAGCAGACATTTTGGCTATGATGGCATGCAGGTTTTTTGTGGGAATGGTTTTATTCGTAGGCGGACCTCTCTTGACTATTTCCTCGACATCGGAAGATTTATATTTACTTCGATCCTTACTTCTCTCTGTGGTAATTGCTGGAAAAAATAAGTTTTTCAATTTTATGAAGCTTTTCTTAGTGTCGTAGCTCAGTCAGTAGAGCGCTCGCTCCGTGGTCGGAAAGTTGTGGGTTCAAACCACGGTTGCGATAGACCTAATTCGATAAAAAAAAAAAAATAGGTAGCAGTTGTTCCTTCGCCAAGCGCTCAGCAATTTGAAGTGAATATTGTGGGTCTTTCAGATGAGACCTTCAAAATCTAGACCCCGTGTTAGGCAGGTGTTGGCACGAGAAAGATCACTCACTGCTCAATGCCCTAAGTGCCGATTAAAGGTTTAAATTTGAAGCCCTTCATCGATCGGTATATGGTGAGTTCTCAGTATGAGTGAAAAGTTCTCGAATGGGACGTATAGCAACATAAAATCAATTAATCAATCAATCAATCTTTGTTCAAGATCCCTATCCCCCCCCCCCCCAAAAAAAAAAAAAATATATATATATATATATATATAATCCAAAACCAGAATTTCAATAGCATCACAACCCTCAAAAAAAGTTTAATAATCTTCAGAAACAGTTCTACCAATATATGCCTGCACATTTTGGATCAGAGGTTGTGCTGTATTCAAAATATTAAAAATAGCTTAAATCTTTTACTATTTCAGAGTTTTCAGAAAATGGGTATACAGTGTAATGCCGCAATTCATGAAATCATAATGCATTGGCTACAGTCACCAAGAGTCCGGTGATATTTGATGCATTGTCAACTATACTGAGCAGTTTTGATGTTTCAGAAATTCATAGTACAAAAAAGAAGGTTCTAAGTGAACATTGTTCTTTAAGCCATGATTAAAGTATAAATTTATATTTTCAAATCCCTTGCCAGATGAATACTTTCTAAAAACAAAAAGGAGGGGGCGATGTTCTTCCTATTTTATAAGAAGTGATAAAAGTTTCATAGAAAATATTTTCTATAGCAAAATAAAAATGCATCAGGTAAAATCTGGGGAAAAAACTCGTAACACTTTGGGATTGTAAATGGTTACAATTGCCGCATGCTGTAGATGGAAACAATTAAGACTAGAATGGAAAGACCGAGTTAATTTTTTTTTAAAGTAGTTACTTTATTTTTTGTTGTTGTTACCTTTATTGAGACAGACATCGTTTCAAAGATATTGAAAAAGTTTTAAAAAATTGTAAAACTTGGCGTGCTTATAAGAAACCGTGTGTTCCGATTTTAAAAAAAAAAGTCTCCGTGCTTTAAATGCTTGAAAATTATCCACTTTATCCGAAACTGAAAATCAAACATGTCAGGTGCGAAGTACTTCACTAATCAGCACTTTTTTGAAAAATAATTAAATGTAATTTACATAGGGTTTGCACTTTCAGTAAAAGAACTACACTTTGTTTTATTATTTGTCATCAAGAAGTAGTATAGTTTCGTGTCAGATATTTTGCTTCATTGGAAATTTTAATTCAGAAATGAAGAGTTTCTGACAAGGGGTATGAAAACAAAACAAGGATATTAAAATTTTGATAGAAAAATCAACAATTATAGAAAAGAAAAGAAAAAAGAACCACAGAAGAAAAGTTTTAAGTCTTTGATTTTTCTAAGTGAAAAATCTGTGAACGTCTTCTGTTGTACACTTTGTGTTTATGACAGTTCTGTAAAACAACAATATAAAATATTCAGGTAAAGAAGGAAATTAAAACCACATTACTATATACAAAAAAGGGTAAATAAAAAAAAATGTAATAAAGGTTGAAATCTAATGTTAAGTTACATTGCTTAGGAGTCTTCCTCTGTCGTAGTTCCATAAAAGAAGCATTGTTTTCCGGTATATTTCTCTTTGTCTTCGCTCTTTCGGATGTTTTCCTTCTCAATCTACAAAAGCAAATTACAATATATATTTTACTCATTGACAGATGTTTATATTATTATTTTATTTTAAACAAAATACACATGTATCAGTCATGCAACTAACATGATGAACATAAACGCTTAAGAATAATTTTATTGCATGTTTGTAGAAAATAACCATTTCTACAAAAGAAGTAAAAACGTCTACCGTAAATATATGATAGTTATCATGGAGACGATGATAGCTACACCAAATGCACCCAAAACGCCACCCACAGTTAGAGCACTGGATGGCTCTACATCGGATACCATACTGGGTATTTCAGCTTTGAAATAGAACAGTTTTAAAGTATTCAACAAATTATTGTATGTAAATGCAATCATCATATTTGATTTATTACCTACGAAATATATACTTTAAGACAAGTGGTTTTATAGGCTAAACTTTTTCGGTATGATCTTGAGTCGAAATCATTGTGGATAATATTTGCAAAACATACCCGTTTTCAAATCAATTATCAAATAATTTTCGAGCAGAGCTTCCATAGATTTCAGAACAAAGGAATTCAAGGACTTAACCCCCCCCCCCCCAAAATATTAGCTCAGCTCAAATTGAGGCAAAAGCACCTAAATCAGGTTGTAGTATTTTATCCGCGTGTCAAGGTCCACTGGAAAAACCAAAGGTAACTCTTTGCTGTTGTGTAAATAATGGTTGCCACCCGGCACCACGTGTGCCGACGGAAGAGGACCTGACACCTGAATCGGTGTTTCGGGCACATTTTGGGAATGTTCCAGGGTCTGCCACTCGTCAGAGGTCAACCCAACTTAAGTTCTAATATACTAGCTGTATAGATATCTGGGCATGGTGTTGCATGCAATCTCTTATACTAATAAATATGTTTGCCAAGTAATTATCAGAATTGAGGATTATTTGTTGGCGGTAGTTGTAGTGGACATTGTTTCTGTTTTCTGTTCCACTAATAAAGCCTTGTGAATTCGAAGCTGTATGCTTTCGGATATAAGTTGATGAGTGAGACAATGTATTTTGTCAAAGAGAATTAATATTCTCTATGTTGCGAGCTTATAGTTAAAGCCCTGTTAATCCGAAACTGTATGGTTTTGGATATATGTCAATGAGTAAGACAATATATTTTGTCAAAGAGAATTAATATTCTCTATGTTGCGAGCTTGCAGCTATTAGCTCGTCTTATTTAGTTGTACAGGTTGTACTTAACAGCTCTTAGATAGAACTGCAGTTGAAATTCGTTGGGAGCGGGCGGGGCGACCCTTCATGTCGTCGCGCTGGAGGAGTTAATGCGCGTGGCATGAGAGAGATCGCATTGGCTGTTTGTTTAGAGTGTGTATTGGGTTATTGACAGCCGCCTGTTTGCTGATATCTGCTCAGCATGATTCTCGCCATCACTGATTATTTTTATTTATTAATTAATATGTTGTCTGTTCGAGTTTAAAAGCTCGTTTAGGTTTCTATGTCGCTTGTATCCAATGATGGGGGGTGTCGGGAATATTGCAGAACACTGTTTATCTTTTTGGATAATTTTCCAATGTTTGCGTAATATTTTCCCAAGTTTTTGGACTGCAGGGTTGTATTTGGTAACAAGCACAGAGGGTGGTCTATTAGATTTGGTCTTGCTATTTTTGAGCAGATCTTGTCTATTGATTGTTTCCGTCTCTGAAACAATGCTACCAATTTCAGAGTCCGAGTACCCCCTTGATAAAAGTCGTTTCTTGAACTGTGAAATTAATTGTTTTGTTTTGTGTGGGTCAGAGGTGTTCCTCTTATGCCGAATAATTTCACCCTTGATAAATCCTCTGAAGGTAGCATTGGGGTGTGCACTGCTGCGATGCAGGTACATAAACGTTTCGGTGGGTTTGATGAACGTTTCAACGTCTAAGACTCCAGTCTGTTTGAATCTCTGTCCTTTGTGCACTTTTGTGTCCAAGAACACAGTCTCATTCAAGTGGATATTGTAAGTAAATTTAAGGTATTTGTGCTCCAGATTTGCAAGTTCAAAAAACTGCAGTATTTCACTTTCTGTGGCATCAATGACCATAAAACCGTCATCCTTATATCTAAAGTGGGCCACAATCTTATTTCTATGGTTGTATTTTTTGGTAATGTTTTCAAGGATATCAAAAAGGCGGAGGTCACATATCTCGGGTGAAGGAACCGCCCCCATGCTGGCCCCTAGTATTTGTTTATAAAGGTGGCCATTAAATTCAAATTCATTGTTCTCGAGCAGAATTTTTAATAATTTAATTAGATAATTGGTATCTGGGATTGGTATTGTGACATCATTTTGTTTCAATTTTTGCTTTTGCTGCAGATTGGATGAGTTCCGTGGCTGTCATGTTGGTATATATCGAAGTTACATCATAGGTAACAAGCCAGGTATCAGGTTTCAAGTGTAGGGATTCAACTTTGCTGATAAAATCTTTGGTGTCTCTAACATATGTGTGTTGTTTTTGTACTAATGGTACCAGGAAGTGATCTATAAAGTGGCCGATTGGCATTGTAGGACAGGAGCATTGAGAGATAATTGGCCTCCCTGGTATAATCATTCCACGCTGCAGGGCTTCGGACCCTTTGAAGTTTTCAATGTTAGAGATGCAGATTTTATGTATTTTAGGTAGTAGGTATAATCTGCCAGGCCTGAATGTAAGGGGCTGCGACAGAAATCTGTGAGTAGTGTTGTCAATGTTAGAATTGATGTGCATTTCACATACAACCTTATTGATCAGATTGTGAATTTCAACTGCAGTTCTATCTAAGAGCTGTTAAGTACAACCTGTACAACTAAATAAGACGAGCTAATAGCTGCAAGCTCGCAACATAGAGAATATTAATTCTCTTTGACAAAATATATTGTCTTACTCATTGACATATATCCAAAACCATACAGTTTCGGATTAACAGGGCTTTAACTATAAGCTCGCAACATAGAGAATATTAATTCTCTTTGACAAAATACATTGTCTCACTCATCAACTTATATCCGAAAGCATACAGCTTCGAATTCACAAGGCTTTATTAGTGGAACAGAAAACAGAAACAATGTCCACTACAACTACCGCCAACAAATAATCCTCAATTCTGATAATTACTTGGCAAACATATTTATTAGTATAAGAGATTGCATGCAACACCATGCCCAGATATCTATACAGCTAGTATATTAGAACTTAAGTTGGGTTGACCTCTGACGAGTGGCAGACCCTGGAACATTCCCAAAATGTGCCCGAAACACCGATTCAGGTGTCAGGTCCTCTTCCGTCGGCACACGTGGTGCCGGGTGGCAACCATTATTTACACAGACGATGTCTAAGCTAAAATTTTACCTAATTGCCCTCAAGCAGATTAATATTTGACCATAAAATGATCAATCTTCAATTGCAACTTAGGTTGTCTTATTATTCTTAAACAACGCAAAACAGTCTGTACAAATACATAACGCTATAAAAAATATTTTATCACTGCAACATATTTTTTATCATTGCAACATATTTTGCTTTGTTTATAATCCTTCATTTTGTCTATTTACAAAAATACTTTGAAATGGATTAGAGATAGTGCTTATTAGTTAAGTAATGACTCTGTCTAAGGAACAATATAGGACTGTTCACTTTTATAGACGGTAACATAAAGTGGGAGAAGTACATGTAGGTGTAAACATTTATAACGTCTACTGTTAACTCAGTTTGGTCATATAAGGATACGTAAACTTTCAGATTCTAGTAAAAAATCAAATGGCAAATTCTTTTTTTTCCCTTTATTTTCTTTTTCTAACCAAGATCATTTTGTTTTCTTCTTAGTTTTCGGGTAAACGAACAACAAATAATGATTAAGACAAACTCACCCTTTTCAGGTTTTTTTTCTTTAACGTATCCAGCCAAACAACTACCATTAGTTCTATAACATGTGGAATTGATACAGTAATCTCTACAATGTTCCTCACAGTTTCTTCCGTAAAATCCCTGATCACATTCTGAAGTTGAAGCAGTCATGTTTAAGAGAAAAGTTTTATAGTGTACGAAATTTCTAGTGAAGCGCAAAGTCACTAAATTATAAAAGTATGAAGTAATGTTGAGGAATAAACAAATATTTTACCTATATTATGTAAATTACAAAACATGAACAAAATTAGTTATTCCGTGTGCGGTTTTCAAGAAAGACAGAGAAAAAAAAAACATCGTACAAAATCGAATTCGATAGCAACTACATCAATTGTTCAATGTCAATCTTATACCTTAGCATTCTTTATCAAGATGTACATCAAATATCCTGATATAAAAGAGTATATATTATACATTTATTGAATGATCATGAGGAAAAGATGAAGATTTATTCCGCCAAGAAAAATCATATTCTCCGAGTGCTTCGCCCGAGGGAAATATGTTTTTTCTTGGCTGAATAAATCTTCATCTTTCCCTAACATTCATGCAATGAATTGTTAATTATACCGAAACAAGAAAAACTTTCAAAAATAAACTTCAAATTCGGCACCGCTCTTAAATTCACTTTCAATTTAACGTAGAATTTACAGATTTGTGACGTGAACCAGGCTATTGTGACGTCAACTACTCTCGGGGGTTTTCGTTCAACGAACGGGAAGATGCACTAGGTCTCCGAAGAGGTTGAATATGATGAAAAGTATGACGACGACAGGGAAATATGAAGTTTTATGGCCCTGTCACGTGATAATCTAGAACCATTCAGATAACGCGTTGTATAGAATAATTGAAACGAGGTATAATAATGTGTTTTATAGTACGTTATAAATAACGAATAAAAACGAATACATGCATGCACTAGTATATGTAATGCAATGTTGTTCGTACACTTGATTAAATCCTCATGAATTTAATACCAGATATTTTGTGCAGAAAATTTTTTGTTGGAGAAAAACATTCTATTAATAGATTCTTAAAAAAATATTTATTTACTTCAATAAGGATCAGTAAGTTCATTTACATGTATATATATATATATAATTATAAGCATATAAAAGCAATGAAAAATGCATTTATGTACCTAAGAAATATTTTTGGTACTTATATCCTGCAGGCAACTGAGAGTACTGATACAGTAAATTAAATCTTTCTTTCGGAATTACCTGTGTTGCAGTTTGGTGACCCTGTCCAGCCAGCAGAACACACACATGACCCATTTGTGTTAGTACATACACGAGCAGTGCGGCAATTTTTTGAGCATTTTTGTGAACAAATTGAGCCAAACAAGCCTCTCTCACATGCTGAAAGAAATTGCAGGTTTTATGTTTTAATATACATGTATAATAATCCTCAGCATTACTTTTATATGTAATAGGTAAAAGCAATAATCAACAAAAGAAGAAATCAAATTGGAAAATGGAGAAAAGTTTTTTGTAATGATATTTCATTTTTTTTTTATATAGAAAAAAAGAAAATTTACGTGGTATTTAAATAATTAATGTATTTTCTGTGGTAATTTTTTTTTCTTTCAAAAATTCAACATTATATTTCAATATGTATACTAAAATGAGTTGTTTAGTGTATCAGTGCACTGACGTCATAGATGTCATTTCTGATCAAGCGAAAATAGTTTAAAAAGGAATCATAAGCTTATTGAAAGTTGGTTTGTTGTACTATACGTCGTTTGAATGCAAAAACGTGCTCCTAAAAGTATTTGGGAAGAATTATATTCACATTCCCTAAACAGGGAGGCCTTTTTTGAGCAATCGTGAGGGCTTAAATTATACATATTGTATTCCATTAAGAATGGCTGGGTAGGAGTATAAAATTGACAGAAAAAAAATCGAACTGGAATATTGAGCAAATTTACATGTATTGCTCTAAATCCGTTAATTTTAAATTTAGCAACACTATCATCATTTTCATTATATTTCATTATCGAAAGAGTTTTATTACTATTTGTTATATTTTGCTAAGGAAAAAAAATATTGTTCACAGCACAAAACGTTTGGGAGATTTTTTTTTAAAAAGAAATAATCAGAGGCCACTATCATGAAAGTTAAAAAAAAACAACATTGCATCAAAGTCATAGTTCTTCTATGTCCAATATGTATGTATGTATGTTTGTTTGTTTGGTTTTTTTTTTTGGTTTTTTTAATTTCTTCAGTGGGATTCTAAAGAAAACATCCTTTAGATTTCCTGGCGGATTCCGTTTAAATAATTACAAAGACTAAACTTTAAAAAATGTTATTTTATGACGTTTTAACGGATTGCCAGCAATCGACTTATTCAAAGGTTGTTTGCGAATATTGTCTGTTTTTTCTCTCTTCTGGAGGTTCATTTATGATCATATAAGGTTAAACTTTACTAAAGTAATATCGTCAATGTCCAAGTTTCATGTTCCTGTAAAGATAATGAATAAAACGTCGAAATCTTTTTGATTTGTTTATCCTTACGCTCAGTTTCTTTTAAGAATTTACACTTATGATGCCACAGTACCACATGATCCGCTATTTTACATTTTTTTTTAATTTCGAAGACGCTGAATATCGAACGTTTTTTTTAAATAAGAGCGACTATTTTTCAAACTTCATGTTATTGATCATTAAATAAGAAACTGTTAAAACCCTTAAGTACGCATGTGTATTTCTTACATTTGTTGCACATAACACCAGTGTATCCATTTTCACAACCCTTGCTACAACTTCCATTTACATGATTACAATTTGTGTCATTTAAACAGTGACCACTGCATATCTCTCTGCAAAGGATTCCAAACTTTCTAGTAGGACATGCTGTCAAAAAAGATATTTAAAATCAATTTTATTGAACGGATGGAGAAATATAAAGAGGTGATGTTCACTGAATTAATTCGGATGTAGTAATTTGAGTAAAATTCATAATATGCTAACTTTTACATACTCTTGTTACAGAGAGTTCCTATATACCCAGGACTACAACCTAAGTCACAATTGCCTGTTGCTCTGTTGCAGAGAGAACTATTCAAACAATTTCCACTACATTTATGAATACAGCCTTGGCCATAGGTTCCACCTTCACACTCTGAAATAGAGATAGATAAATAAAAGACGTACACAGTATCAATAAACATATAAAAAATGTATATATATATATATATCTATTTAATGATTTATTTATTGATTAATTTATGGACCACGCTCCCTCAAGGCTTTATTACGATCAAATGTACAAGCCTTGGGATTGTTATCCGCTCCC